GACTGGGTGAGCATTGTGCCCAGGGGACAGCACTGATGGGAGACCTGCATGTACCTTTCCCATTGTCTGTCTGGGTGGTCTCAGCCTTTGCTCTGGCAAATACTTCCAGCCACCCCTGGTGCTCCTGGCTGTGCAGCACTGCTCTTCTATTGTACCTTGCTGAGAGTTTTATCTAATGGCCTTTTGGAATGAGTTAAGAAATTACTGAAATATTACCAGGATCCTGTCTGATTTTCAGGCTCCCCACTGGTTCTTTACCTGAGACCACTGAAAGTGCTGTGACTCTCTGGCTTGAAGCTTGAGCATTATTACATCTCATGCAATGATTGTCTCACTTCTGCATCATCTGATGGTTCCAGGCCATGTCCCTGCCCACTAGGGCAGGAGAGCCTGCTGCTGTCTTTATTGCACATCAGCTGGGAGCTGGATGTGCCCCCTGTGTGCTGGTCAATGAGTGCCTGCTGCCAACAGCAGAGCTGGACAAAATGTTATCACATTTAAGGAAGATTTTCTTGTGATTTCTGTTTGTCTCCACCTCCACATTTTAAGTTTTGGCTGGCTCTAGGGTCCCTCCAACAACACTCTGTAAACCTGGACAGCTTTTGAAAACTGGCTGCCTCATGTTCTGCAGAGAGTAAAAATTAATTACTTGTTTTAAAGCATTTAACCAGAGTGGGAAGCTGCACATATGTATGAGCTTGGTTAGGTGTGTTTTTGATGCCTTGGGGCTTCTTGTGTGTACTTTGTGGGTGCTGTTTGCTGTTGTCCTGCCCCTGCTGTCTCCTGACATCTCTGCAATTCCTTCCATGCCTTTGTATTGCTCCTTTGCTGCTCCCCCCTTACCCTGCCATGGGTAAGGGGCTCATGGCCACACCAGGATCTCCCACTGGGGCACAGTTCCCTGGCCACCTCATGCCTTCCATGGAGCAATGGGTTGCAGTGCTGGTGCTCCAGGGAAGGTGAAATCATAGGTGCTGGCGTGTTCTTGGCTGCTTGTTGGATCTTCAGGAAACTCAGTGTGCTTGATTGGATGGGAGAGCTGAAGCTTTTGATAATCATGGGTTTTGATTTTTCTTATTTTCCAAAATCTAATTACCAATTTTATTATTTTTTTGTGACTTTATAGGCTTATTTTTTAACTTGGTATAGTTAATAAAGTGATGCAAAACTGACTGCTTATGCAGAGTACTCCAGTACAGAACACTTTTTCCTACTGGTTTTATTCTAAGCAGTACAGCCCTGTGGGGCTGAACTGTCTGATTTATATTGTCTTTGTGTAAAGCAACATCTAGACTGGAATTTTTTATTTTTAGTTTTGTGCCTGATTTTTGGTGGCTTTTCTAAATTTAGAACCCATTTTTTAAACCGCATTAAAATACCTTAAAATGCAAAGTATGTAATGTGTTAATTAGAGACCTTGGGAGGGAAACTCCTAATCTTTTGCAAGGCAATTCTCTTGGAAGGGGAGCAAGGGACTTCAAGAACTTCAATTGAACATGTACATCTTGTGGAAGATCCAAAGTAATTTAGAGCTGAGAACAGAGTATTGGTTAATGGGATCTCTGGGTCAGACTCTGAGCCTTGGAAGTCTCATGCTGCACTGCTTGTCCCTAGAGACAGGGCAGGAAAAGCTGGGGCCTGTTTTGCTCTCTGACAGGACATCTCCCAGAGGAATTGCAAGGAGTAGTATCTTTGCACAGCTATTTCTTTTCCCTAAAAATATATTTTTTACTCTATTAAGTTAGTGGCTCAGCTGGTGTTCCTTTGCTTCAGCTTTGATGGCTAAACACTGCATATATACATCATTTCCAAAATGATGGATTTCTCCTATGCTGTGTCATTGTGTGTTATTGTATCCCCAGAGGCACCACGGTGTTGGTTTGCCCTGCTCTGCTGGCCCTGTAGGAATGTTTTGGGGATGCTCCCATGCTCCAGGGAGGTTGGGTGGGTGCTCTGGCAGCACCTGGTGTGGGTGACCCATCCTTGTGCAGAGACTGCAAATGTGGCATGACCTTCAATAGCTGTTTTCTGTGCCAATAACTGGGTAGTTTATTTATGGAGACTCATACATCCATGAGAGTTTCCTGTAGTCTGAGTGCTTGAGGTTTTTCAAAACAGATATTCTACAGTTGATGAGAATGGTCATTTTTGTGACATTACCTGTCTTCTGTGTCAGTGAATGTTGAGGCTTATTACATCTTGCTTCTGAAATGCTCTAAAAATTCTCACTTTATCTGCAGGCTTAATTGCTGCCCATTAAAACCTCTCTGATCCAGACTGAATAGCACTGGAGATGGATGGAAGAGCTGATTTGCTGAAAGGGCTTCAGGCATTGTGGAAGGCATCAGGTCACTGCAGCACATTAAGAATAACCAAGTCTAAAGTTAAGAATTACTTAAAATTAGAGATTGAATACTTCTCTGGGAATGTTAGAGGATGTTAACACAAATAATGGATTTTTCTACACTGGGGTTAGAATGAGAATAAAAAGAGAAGACACTTCACAAAGCACTGCACTCTGTGCTTTTGGCAGAAATATTGGGTGTAGATAGTAAATGTGAGCTAACAGGTCTGAAGGTGCATGGGGGAGGCTTGCTGTTCTTACAGTGCTTTGGGATCACAAGAAGTGCAAACACCACTTTATTACCATGCTCTACCAAGCATCTAGTGGAGTGATTCTGTGGCACTCTGTGTGCCTGACAAGTGGCTGCTAGCATTGTGTCACAGACAGGCTCTGTTTGTCCCTGTCACACATTGGCTATGCACAACTGCTGGTGTAGAGTTAAAAAAAAAAAAAAAAAAAAAAAAGGTGCAAAACCCCCAACCAAATGTGTGTGTGTGTTTTCTGATAGAAAAGGAATGGAAGAAAAAAAAAGATTTTAAGAATCATGTGGAAGGACTTGGACCTGTCTTCAGCCTGGGAATATATTTTTTAACTTCACATTTCTTTTAGAATCTGATAAACCACACCTTTCCACATAAAACAGTTACTGGAATTAGAAAGTTTTATCCCTCATCCCATGAGGTTGCAAATATAAAAGCATTACCTTAGGGATGTGTCTGATTCTCTCACAAGCACATAATTCCCAGTACCTTGGAGATTAATGCTTAATGAGGAGTTAGTGGTGCCAGAAGAGGGCTTTCTGTGGGGCCCTGTTAAGTGTCACCAAATGCAGTTTCAGGATCTCAGACAGAGGCATTGGAGTTGCTAATTGAGCTGGGGGTGCTCTCTAAGTGGCAGATGAGACTTGAGACACTCAGACTGATTGCTCTGACATGCAGCCAGCCACAGCATAGAGCTGTTACCCTAGAGGATTGCCAGTAACTCATTTCTGACCTCTGTGACTGATAGATGGGGGAATACTCCTCTGACCCTGGCATTTCAAAAAAATGTTGACTTATCTTTTCTGTTTATTGATGCAAAAATCAATTCAAGTTGTGGGGGTTTTTATGCTGGTTGAATGGATGCAAGTTCTTCCCATCTTGCTTTTGTCGTTTCTGTGCAGTTAGACTCATCTCTGCATTAAAAGCAGATGAAGAGACTGAAATTTCTAATGGCTTTTGCAATGAGTCACAAGTGCATGTCTAGACTCCTTAGACAATTTTTTTTTTCTCACTAGCACATAGGATGAGAGTTTCTCTTTAGAAAACTAACTTTAGTTATACAGCCAGCTCCAAGCATAATAGTTTTCCCATTTGGAGAGTTTTATGAGCTTATGTCTAAGCTGTATCTTAACTTAGCATGTCTGTGCTGAGATCTTCATGATCCCTTCTCAGTTCTCATCTTTAGGAGGTTCTTTCATCTTGTATTTACACAGCCAATGTATTCTTAATTTTTTGGGGAAGTTGGAGTGAAACTAGATTGTCTCCTTTGCTCCTCCACTGAATCAAAAGTCCTGTCTATTTGTCTGTCTACTCTTTAATTCCTGAAGTGACATGTGTACCTGCAAAATGTGATTCACTTGCCTGTTGCTCCTGCTAACAGTGAGGTTTCTGAGTGGTGTCCTAGTCCCAAATGGCAGCAGCAGAAGCAGCAGCAAACCTTTCCTAGATGCATTCTACAAGTGGCCAAAGTCATGGCCTAAGCAATGTGTGCTGCTGTGTGGCTTCCCAGCTCTGCAGGGATGGGTGTCACCTTTTGGAAGAGGGAAAACAAGTATATTAGGTGGGGTACAGCTAGTGAAATCACCTAGCTGCCAAATCCAGAGACTGAATGAAATTTAATGCTAAATAAAATGAATAAATAAAGCCCAAAAGGTTTGCTGTTTGCAACGTATCTACTGGTAATGCTTAAAAAGACAACCTCGTGGTTGTTACTTAAAATGCTGGAGTGAAAATCTGATGGTGACAGGTGCAGCTCTTGTCTCTGCCCACTCAGAGCCTTGTATTCCCCTGGATCTGCTCGTGCAGCTGTGGTTGCTGAGCCCAGTCCCACGTCCGAGCTGAATCTTCCAGCTGTGGCCCCTCCGTGGGGGTGACCCCGTGAGATCCTGCCGGGAGCACAGGGCTGGGGGCACACGGAGGAGCTCAGTGCTGAGGACTGGTGGCAGTGGCACCCAGCAGCAAACTTCAGGGGCTATAATGTGGCAAATTTTAAATGAAGTAGTTCAGTAATTGCAGTTTAAGTTTTTTGCCTCAAAACGCATTTCCAGTGAAAGCAGTGGTGGCTTTGTCTACTGATGTAGAAATTTCCAGCTTGAATTCAATAACTTTTATGAAATACACCTGATTACCCTGGAGGGAAGGCTGATCCCATCTCTTGAAAGTCTTTGTCCATGTGACTGCTGCCTTAGTTTGAATAGATTTCTGCTCTGCAGGAAATGCAGCTGCACTATCACTAGAGTCTTCATCCTAGTATAAAAGTTAACTGCATTTCTTGACACTTCTCATGACACATAGTTTTGGTTTAAGGACTGTGAGCTATAGCAGTTATAATATTTTAAGTGTTTGCTATATTTTTCTACTCCACTAAAATGATAAAATTCTCTCATTTTCAGGGTTGCACACAGAAGTATATTGTGAAGAACTACTTCTACTACTACTTGTTCAAGTTTTCAGCTGCTTTGGGTGAAGAGATTTTTTATATCACTTTCCTTCCGTTTACCTACTGGAATATAGATCACTCTGTGTCTAGAAGAATGATAATTGTTTGGTCTGTAAGTATTTCCATGATTAATTCAAACTTTAATTCTGTATCTGTAGCAAATGACTGTTTAAGAGCAAGAACTACCCCTCAAACAAAAGAAGCACCAACACTATTCATGTTTAGGAAGAATAGGCATTGCAATACTGAGAGAAGAGGTGAGAGGCATCATCTGACTCAGGGTTTCTTCAGCTCTGCCACATCTTGGACTGACTTTTTTTCAGCACAATCACTGACTGAGCTGCTTTTGACAGAGTTTGCACAGAGCAGTTGGGAAAACACTTCCTTCCCAATGCATCATAGTATTTCAGGGATTGTTTTCCATCACTTTAGGAAATAATTCTCTTATTCTCATTTCTTCTGTGCAACTTCATTTAGTTCTGGCTTGGTTGAAATTACTATAAACCTGATAGAAAGGGGATATGCAGGCAGCAGTGGAATAAGCAGGGTGTTTCTGCAGTCACTTGAGGGGGAAAGATCAGACTGTCTGTTGAAGGCTAAGACTTGAAAGCACTGATTTTTTTTAATATGAGAGCATTCACAAATTAACTGATTTCAGCATTGCTTCAGCATGGGTTTGGGGTATCCAGGATAATGTATTTCTATTGTAGCATTGAAAAAACAGGAGATAATCAGGAACCATTGGCCAGGACTGGCTGTTTTGTTACTGCCATTGCTCATTTCGGTATTGATCAGATATTGCTGCCCAAATAAAACAATTTTGGAACAGAGAAGGGAGGTAGGGAGCACATCTGCCAGGTGCCAGAGCCTGGAGGTTTAGCTATCAATCTACACTGATTTAAGAAATTGAAGCTTGGTTAAAATTCAGATATGATATCCATGTTTATTTCTTTACAGTGAAGCTTCTCTGTGATCTAGTCAATTCTGGCTAATAATATTTTGTCTTTTTGACCAAATAATATGATAAGAAATAATAAAACCAATTTGAATTGGGTCATACACTTCAAATACACCTGGTCTTGGACAGAAGACATCAGTTATTGTGCCAGTAACCTTAGTCAGTACATTTTATAAAGAGAACATGAAAAATAACTTGCAGGTGCTATTTAGAAGTAGGTGGACACAGTATAACTAGAGCTGGGTTTTGGCCAGGAGTACACCTACAGCTTCTGGAAACGTGCCACTGAAGATGAAAATTCATAGTCACTGCCTTCTGGGTTTGCATATTGCTCAAAAGAATGGGCCTTTGGAGTTCTTTACATGCATTTCTGTAGACTTGCCTTGCCTTTTCTTTGCAAGGAATTCATCTGAGTATTGGCCAGATCTAGTCTGATTTAATTAAAATATTCAAGCATCTGATATTATGATAATTAATATTATTTTTCATTTACTGAGTTGTGGAGTTGCACTTTATACTGAAATGGGGAAAACTGTTTTAAATACATGGGCTTGTAACAATCTGTATTTTTAAAACATTAATTATATGTAATTGTGAAATGGCTAAAAATGTCTGTGCAGGCCATGTGTTAACTTTGTGGCATGCTCAGCCACAAAGGAGGGTGTCTTACTGGTGAGCAGGGACTGGCACTCACAGTGCTGGTGTTGGTCTGTCTAACAGAGTCATGAAATCATAGAATGGCTTGGGTTGGAAGGGACCTTTAAAGCCACCTACTCCCATCCCCTCTGCCATGGGCAGGGACACCTTCCACTAGACTAGGCTGTTCCAAGCCCTGTCCAGCCTGGCATCAGATGCCTTGGTCATGGATGTGACATTTGGCTCAGCTGCAAGGGAAACACCAAGGTGTCAGTGGGACAAAGCTGTGGTTTTAACTAAATTGGAGGTTTTTGGTGATGGAGGTGTGAAGAAATGCTTCTGAATGCGTGATGATGATGATGATGATGATTATGCATGGCTAAGAAGAACTGTGTTAGATGACAGAAAAAATCCAGGCAGCCTGACAGTCTCTGACAACAGCTGTGAGTGGAGGGCTGGGAAGAGCATGAAGGGACAATTGCAGGACCCAGGCATATTCTGCAGAAGGCTCTTATCCATCTGGGGAAAGGAACTGGTATCAAAGGGAGAGCCTTAAGAGAAAGGGAGGAGTAGCTCCCCTTTAAAGGGGATGCTCAGGATGAGGAGAGGTTGTTAGTGAAGCTCTTCAGCAGGGAGAAAGAGTGGACCAACAATGACTTTTTCAAGAGCCTGGGGCAGAGCACACAGGTATGTTGGGAATCTGGCTGTCAGGGATGATGATGAAACCACTGGCCAGGACAAGTGGCTCTGGAGAAGCAGAAGTAGTGCTGAGGGTGGTACTTTTTGTGCTGTTTCCTACTTAAACCTGAAAGTTTCTGCTGTGAGTTGGAAATGACAATGTTGGTGTCCCAGGATGAATCAGGGGAGTTTCTTCCCTTAAAAATTAAAGCAGCATTAATGCTGTTGATAAAGACTTCCTGCCATCTTATCTGTAATAGTTTATGCAGAGCCAGTCACCTCCATTTGAGAAAGAAAATTTCAAATTGGAGCAGGGCCAGGGATGATTAAAGAACAGACTATTTTCTGAGCAGAAACCAAAAGCTTAGATAAAGCCCTAACAAAATGAAGTTGGAGAGAAAATGGGGCTGGCTGCAAAAACCATGGGAAGGAAGGAGCTTCTTAAAATAAAACTACAGTCACAAGAAGAAACATGCATAAGGCAGTCATAAATAATTTCAGTTGAAGCCAAAGGTTGTGAAATAACTATAAGAGTGAAGGGCAGAAAGAAAAAATATAGAGTTTATTTCAGCAGCAGCAGAGGAGTGGACTTGGAACTCTGAATGTCTTGCCCAGCCCTGGGTCCCCAGATACAGTTATTTGTGCTTTTCTGTTCAGGTGGATGGCTGTAGGAAATGCCGACTGCTGTTGCGTCCCGATGCCTTGGCAGCTTAAAGCAGCGTGTTGTGCTTCCATGGGGCCTTGTCTCTGAGGATTCAGAGTATTTATGCAGGCTTTACCTTTACCTTTGTGGACAAGGAAGTGCAGAGATGAAAAATAGCTTCACACAGTCCCCAAATGTACTTTCAATTTACTGCACGTCTCAGCTCAAGAGGTGAAAGCTCACTTTCTGTTTGTTTGTTTTTTCTTTTTGCACTGCTTCAGGTTTGAAATCTTTATTTTGGTGTGGAATTTCAAAGGCAGAGACCTGGAAAAAAATACTTACTGTTTCAGTTTGCTATTCAGCATGCCTGGAATTATCTTTTTTTGTTTTCTTTTCCTCAGGCCACGCCTCTTTAGAGCCTATAAAATTAATTCATGCAATATAAATAAGAGCTGGCCAGCATGGACTTTGTTGGGGCAGGTGTGGAAGCTTCTGGCATGTGACAGTGATAAGCTGCTGACTCAGGGGTAGGTGGCACCTCTGAAGGAAGGCAGAGTTTGGGTGTTGGGTGATGCCAGGCTGTGTGTGCCCCTCGGGACTCCCTGAGCAGCACTGGGTGGGGACATCTTCAGCAAGTCTGAAAAGGTACTGGGTCTGAACCCATAGCAGTTTAGCTTTCCATCTTGCTTTTCAGAGGAACAGCTTTCTAAAGGCTGTCAGCACTTAGTTATTCAGCAGTGATGAGCTCTGAACTCCCTCTCAGGGTAACCAGGAGTTTCCTGGTCAGCAGGACTTTGCCTGCAATTGTGATGCCCCTGATATTGCTGTGCACTGATTGAAAACACACTTGGAAGCAAACCTTGGGTTTAACAATTCTTATGTGTTTGTTAATTTTAGTGCCTTTGCAACACTTCACCGAAACAAGCCTGGAACTGCTGACAAACACAGTCACTTGAAAGCCAAGCTCTTCAAAGCACCAAATATTGCACTGCACAAGAACATGTAAAACTGTATTCAGGCACATAAGTAACTACATGTCAGAATACAAAAACAAATGGTGTGTGCAAGTTGATTAAGTGTTGATTGAAAGGGAATTTTGCAAGAGCTGGTAGCTGTACTCCACCCTTGAAGAAAAAGTGCCAATGAGGCTTTCATAACTTGAGATGAGCTGTGAATCATTTAAGGTGAAGTTTAAACTGGAAAGTGGCAAAACTTTTCCCTGCTGCTAGGAGTCTGGACCCAAATTTCCTTCTCTAAGCCCATTATAAGATAGTCAACTACCTTACAGATTTTGTCTAAAGGCTTCTTTTAAAAACACAGTAATGTGTTAGGGTATTGGCTGGTTGTGGTTCTGGAGGCTCAAGGTTCTACTAATCTTGTTCTGGTTTTGTGTTTCTGAAGCCTGAATTGAGACAAAGTCCTCCTCCCTTATATATATATATATATATGAATAATATATACTTATAATTATATATAAATTATATATATTAATAATATAGGGTTATAGGGTTATATAAATTATATACATATATATATATATATATATATATATAAACCCCTTTTTTGGGAAGCTGCCCTTGCTGTGTCTTCCCTGTCCCTGTGCCTCCTGCTGCCCTTTGCTGTGATGTGAATGCTGTGCTGCTTGTGGTGGGCTGGAGATCTGCCTGTTGGATTTGCTGCCCTCATGGTGGCTGGGACAGCCCAAGGGTTTGAGCATCCCACCAGCTGACTGCAACCTTGAATGTGCCATTGACCCTGGCCAAACCCTTGGTAAACGTGAAAAGTTCCTGTGCAGCCAGCGCAAGGCTGATGTATTTTCTGGGAAACAATAGCCAATGTGGAAATGGCAGGTCCTGGAGCTCTAGGAGAGCCAGCTACCCTCTCCCACAAGGTGTGTGTGCCTGGAGGAGGATCCCAGCCCTGCTGCTGGTGTTGGCACATGGGGAGCAGCCCGGTGCTTCAGGAGGGGATGGGGGAGGATGAGGATGGCTCAGGGGCCCAGGCTGGAGGTGTCTGGGGCTCCCCTGTTCCGCAGGGCTTCCTCCACCTGGGCTGCTGCCAGGGCAAGAGGCCAACAGTGCTGCTCAGTGACTTTCATGGTGTGCTTTCCTGAAGCCAAGCCTTACTTCTTGACATTGACTTGGGGGTAGGAGGAGTACCTCCGCAGGAACGTGTTTTTCCTTGCCCTGTTCTTCTTTCACTCTGAAAGGAGTGATGCCTGGGGGACACAATCACAGCTACTATCTGCTGCAGTCTTTATCTGGCCACTTAACTTGTGGGATGCCGAGAATAGAGCAGTGCAGGCTGGGTGCTTGGCTTAATTTCTGTATGGCAAATCAAAGTCACGCCTGCCTCAGCAACCACATACAGTCTTTACTGCTGCTTGACTGATCTGCAAATGTTCATTAATAGTGCATCCTTCTTTTTTTTCTTCAAAATGCTTGGTAGCTCCTGTCAGTGCACAGTGCTTGTGAAAGAAACTCAAAGTAACATCATTTTCAAACTGTGAATTTTGTTTCTGAGATGATGACATATACTACTGCTGGTCAGGGTTTCTAGAGGCAGGTTATAGAGTTTCTATTTTGGTGCTAAACCAGCAGATTCAAAGTCAGGCTGCCACACTGTGAGTCTCAGGGAAGAAGTTGCCAATGTTATTTGACCACATCTTCTCTGGAGTTTTGTCTTGTTCTTATAATAGATCAATAATGAAGATAAGGACAGCTGCAAAATCAGAAGTTGAAAACAAATATAAGCTGGTTCCCCTTTGTTAGCTGAAATATTACAGAATATAAAAAGAACTGTTCCTCTGACCTTCGTATGCCAGTGGGAGGGTCAGGTATGTCCATCCTGTGCAGAGGTTCTAGCAAGGCAGGGAAGAAGGAAGATGTCCACACACAGCACACCTGCAGCACTGAGCATGTTTCCTCAGTCCTGCCAGGCTCAGTGTCTGGGCAGCTGCCATAGGAATATTCCACAGCAGAAACTGCACTCTGCCACAGAGAAATGCACAAGGAACCCTCTCTGCACAGGGAATTGGCTTAGTTGGGTCTGTCTGTTCCATGTGTGTCTGCACCGTGGTGGTAAATCTGCTTCCAGAGCTCTTGCTTCCTGTCATGGGAGTGATGCATGTGAGGAGTGAGGAGAAAGCATTGCAAATGCCAGACAACACCTGCAGGTGTTGTCTCTTAGATGGTTGACTTACACACCAGCTGTATGGATGTCAGGGAAACAGGTCACTTCATGGCACTCGTGCTCAGGAGGGGAGCAGCCCCTCACTCCAGAGGGACCTCCTGCAGACGTTGGAAGAAATGAATAGGTACCCACAACTGTGTGGATGCTAATGCCTCAGATTTGGTTCTGTAGTTGTTCGCTAAAGCAAGCTCTGTTAAAATACAAAGATAGATTTGTCTTGTTTATCCTGATGCAAAGGCTCAGGTGAAGAAGTATTTTTGGAGATAGACCATATATATGACTCAGAGCAAATTAAGAGGAAGCTCTCAGAAAAAGACTAGAGGCTGTCTTGCTGCTATAGCAACTGCCAATTGCCGCTGTGTAGTAAAATGTAATGCTATTCACCCAAAGTGGCAATAAAGCCTTGCCTTTCCTTCACCTGGAACCCTGTCTTACTGTAAAGGGTTGCTATTGCCTATTGCCCTCAGCACAGCCCAGCCAAGCTGTAGTGGTAGGCAGCACAGTTTGAGGATGGTCTTGGGTTTTGCTTACAGTTTTGGGGGGTTTTGTTCTTTGTTTGTTTGTATGTTTGTTTTATTGCTGCTTACATTTGTTGCAGGATTTAAGCCGGAAGAGTTCGAAGTCATTTTCATTGCATTGGGAAATCATGGATGTGTGTGAGAGAAGGGTGGGGGTGGGCACTGCTGGATGGGTCCCGCCAGTGCCGCTCCTGCCCTGCTCTGTGGCACAGGGCTGTCCCCAAGGAGGGCACCGCACTGCCCGGGGCAGGCAGCTCTGGCAGAAGTGCTGTTTGCTTTGCCGTGCTGTGAGCAAAGAGCCAGTGTGGATTCTGGGCAGTGCCCAGCCTCTGCAGCACCCCCAGTGCAGGTGACACAGAGCACCACCTGTGTGGGGTGGCCTTTAGCAATGTGCCCCTGCCATCATTCTCTCGGGAAGCCAGTTCAGCTGCTAGGGGGGTGTTTTGCCCCACCTGCGAGTGCTGCTTCTGCCTCATAATTCAGAATAATATGTGTAAAGCCACGTGCATGGTACCCAGATAAGCTAAAGGTAAAGGTCTGGTGCTTCAGAGATCAGTGCTCAGTCTGAACATATTCTGGAGTCCCCTGCATGTTCTATGAAGGTCATCTCACCTCTCCTTACAGTCTATACAATGTGCTTCTAAAAAGTAGAAGGGTAAGAATTTAATCTGGGATGCCAGGAAGGGGAGGGTGTTGTGAGGATGCCTGGTATTTTCACTTACCCATCCCACCTCCAGCATTCAGTCTGTTTTTCACCATCACAGGAGTCCTAGCATAGCCTTCATTTTTGAGATGACTCATTTCCTTTTCTGCAATGCTCTTACGTTCTAGTGCTAATAATACTTCCACAAGTGGAAGTCATTATTATAGAGGACTGCTGATAAACTGGCTCATCCTACCTTGCCTCTCAGATGGTATCACAAATGGCAGCCTCAATGTTTTATGTTCTGCCTGAGAGAGTAATTTTTCTTTCAACCCTGGAATTTAATTAACTTCCAAACATGTGCCTGCATCCATTTGGAAATTGATGGCATTAACTAAATAAACCCACACAGTAGGTTTTTAAAAGACATTTGTTCCTTGAGCCTTTGTTTACTGTGAACAGTCTGGGGCAGGGTATTCACTGTCTTCCCCGTGCTGTGTGTGTCTGTAGGAGCAGCCAGGTGTGTCCCACTTGCTGCTGATAATAAGGCACTAACGTGATTCACATGATGAGGGATAAAAGCTGCAAAGGCAGCAGCAGTCACTTTTCCAGGCCCTGGTGCTGGCTGTAAGTCTAACACTCCCTGCCATGTGCTTTGCTGTAGAGAGACAGGTGAAGGAATGTGACTGGCTTTTCCCTGGTCCTGACATGTGAATCCTGAATCCTGCCATCTTTCTTTTCATGTGAAACCATTTTTTAAATGGCTGATGGGAGACAGAGGGATGCAATGTGCCTGGTGACGAATGTGGCAGTGGGTGATTGTGTTGCTGTTCCAGCATATGGCCAATACCAGTAGCAAGGGAAGGATGTTATTCTAAGCCCCCTCCTTTGCTGGTGGAAGCACAAGAAGCAGAAGAACGAGCTGTCTCACACAGCAACTGAGCTTTCATGGTAGACACCAATTAACTTCATTTTTGTATTTAAAAAAAAAAAGTTTTGCTTGGCTTTGTTTTGAAGAGCCTTCTCTGCCTACATGTGACTACATTATCTAAGGGGAGGAGGACTACAACAGAAAGCAAATAGATCCTACAGGGACCTGGTTAACTTTTCTCAGATGCCCTCAGTGTGGATGCTGAGAGCCTGCTGCCTTTGGGAAGAGGGCGCTAAGGAGCCAAGCATGCCCTGAGCATGGCTGGATGGACAGCACCTCTCAGGGATGCTGGGCAGCATTGCCCCTTGCCTCTGTTTCCCTTGCTGACCTGAGAGTGTGACAAGTCCCCTAAAAGTACTGTGTTACTGTGCTCGGGAGCTAATTAATGCAGCCCCCACTTAAACCTCTGGTGTCCCAGGCAGGGAATAAAAGCCTTTTACTGGGGAGTTAGGCAGGAGAACTGGTACCTCGTGTTGCTTGTCCAGTTTTCCCCCTGCTGCCTCTGCGAGGATGCTGAGGCTGTCATTTAATAACCACAGGGGTGGAGTGTCCCAGCAGGGTTTCTGCAGCACCGGGTGGAGTGGGAGCTGCTGGGAACGGGGGAGCTGCTGCTGGTGTAAGGCAGTGATTGGAAGGTGGGGGTGGAAAAATTTCTCTTATGGCTGTTTTCTTTGCAGGAGAGGGATTGTAAGGGATAGTGAGGAAATTTAAACTCCTCTGGCATGGGGTGGGAGCCAGCTGTCTGTCTCACACTGTCCTGTATTGCTGAATCTCATCAGCCAACCCTCCTTTTGGTCCCACTTCTCCTCAGGTTACCACACAGAGCAGAAAAACCACCACTTCCTTCACTGGCTGAGCTAATGGAAATCCATTTAATAATTCAGGGGATAAATTCTGCACTTGGAGGGGTAGATTCTGCAGGAAAAAGCACAGGTGGTTCTTGGGTGGGCTGCATGGGGATTGCCTGTGCTGACAAGCCTGTGGCCTTTCCTGTCCCCAGATAGTGATGTACATAGGCCAGGTCTCCAAGGACATCCTGAAGTGGCCTCGGCCCCTGTCACCACCTGTCGTGAAGCTGGAGATGAGGACGAATGCAGAGTATGGGATGCCATCCACCCACGCCATGGCAGCTACAGCCATCTCCTTCTCCTTTTTCATTGCAACCATGAACCAGTACAAGGTAGGGGGTACAAAAAGAAAGCAACAAGAAGAAAAAGAAAATACATTAAAAAAAGAAAAGCCTGTGTCTGCTTCCAGCAAGCCACATAAATCTTGCAAATCCAAAGATGTTGCTATTTCCAGAGGAATTCTTTATTTATTTTCACACATTTTCACATGTGTATTCTTCCCCGTGCTTACCTGTAGCTGGCCAATAATAGACACAAAAAGAAATTTAGTGGAAATGTCCTTTTTTTTTTGCCTGGACTCCTCTCAGAGCTGCTGTCAGGCTGCACTGCCCTGCTGGGGCTTGGTGGCTTCAGTGTGTTTTTGCACATGTTGGACATGGAGGGAAGGTGCCTGATTGCCAGCATTTTGTGCTCACCCCATGCCCACCAAGCCAGTGCTGCACATCGGGACATGCTGGCTCCCAGGGAAAGCAAAGGAGCTCTGTGCCACGTGGTTTATGTATGAAAGGAAACGAATCCTTGGAAGTTCCTGGCTCTAACCTGTGTTAACTAGCAGCACACATGATTGGTAAGCCTGCTTGTCAGAGGAGTAACAGCAACTTCACTGCACTGGAGGTGTAGACTGTTTGGGGATGTCTCATAATCTTTCCTCAGCATCTTTCTAAAAGGTTTATTTCCTGGAAGCTCATTTCTCTGTGATGATTATTTTCATTCTGTTTAATGAATCCAAGCCTGTGTTTCCAGTACTCTAGCAGTAACTTGCTGGCTGTATTGTATTTAAGAATGTTTCTCAGCCCTCTCAAGGGATAAATCCATGTAACCAAGAGGGCTCCTACTCCCTGTGTGGTAACTGGTCAGAGCAGCTTGACAGTGGGATGGGGACAGGGAACCATAAGAGGGAATATTTGTCAGGCCTGGAAGGCCAGATCCATCCCATGTGTCAGAGCTGACAAGAAGACCTGGTCAGCCACACCTTCTCCTCAATCCACAAGTGACCAGTGAGACACGCAGCTCTCCACAGGCTGTCTTGTGCTTCTTGGAAACTGCCATGAAACAATAAAGCTGCTGTCAAATAATTAAATGGTTTAATTGCCTCTATTAAGATGGAAAAAAATCTCCCAGTACATTATGCTACTATCTTCTCAAGATGCCCTAATCATCAATTACTGATCTGGACTAGCTCCCAGGCTGCCTGCTGAGGGAGGAGTCAAGTGGGTGTAAATGCGCCAAAGGCTTAGAGAAATGAGGAAAAATAGTGTTTTATGATCAGGGAGTGACATCTGCAGCTGGGACTGAGCTCTCTGTTCAGGGGGCTGGAGTATGCCAGGGGAAAGGGTCAGAAGTGAGCTGTTATGCTTAGATTTTCCACAGAAGCATTTTTGTGCTGACCTGTGGCCACCCTGGTCAATTGTCAGCCTCTGGCGGAAGATGGAGACTTCGTGTCAAATTGGATGAATAAATTGCATTTATTTATATTTTGGGTTGGTTTAATTTTTACAGAAAAATCTCCCTTACAGACTTAAAGAAGCCCAGCAACCTACTCAGTTTCAGGGTTTGAACGAGTAGATTAAGGGCTAATATGTTAAGCTTATTCTTTACCAAGTGTGGGTTTTTTCATTTTTAAATGTTGATTTATTTAAATGCTTATTTCCATGTTTTTAGGCTACTCAGAGAGGATATTAAGCAAAAACAGCTTCATAAGAAGCTTTAAGTGTCATGGGGAAGAGCAGTCCTGACTGCTCTAATAGCTGGATTGTGGTTTCAGCCCAGACATTGATTCTCCCCACTCAGCCCACCACTCGAGGACTATTGATCACACTTCTGGTCAGATTCTGTAGCTGTCACAATCCTCTTGGCTGAGCTGAGCCTGCAGTGCTACCTCAGGCATGGCTTGTACAACATGCTATGCCTTTTTCCTTAAGCTCTTTAACACTAACACGGGTTTTACAGATAGATATTGTAGGGAACATTTCTGCAAACACCATCTATTCCCCAGATGTCTCTACAGTGAGACCAGAGCTTCCAGGAGCAGGCAGCACAGGTACTGAAATGACCTTCTAGTAGGGCTGCGTGTTGATTGAGGGGAGGCCTTGTCTCAGGTCACATTAATCTCTTGGGGAAAGTGCAGCTCAGGAGCCTCCTCCCAGCACAAGATCCTTATGTCAGTCCAGCTGCTTGGTTTAATGGGTGTATTTAATATTTTTTTTCCCTTTTCACAGTATCCATTTGAGCTCGGCCTGGTAGCAGCGTTTGTGTTCTCGACGTTGGTGTGTCTGAGCAGGCTCTACACCGGGATGCACACACTCCTGGTAAGGATGTGCCTCCAGCTCGGCTTTCCTACTGCATCTCCCACTCTTCAAGCGATGCATGACCTGCCTTGGCCATGCCACCGCAGGAGCAGAAGGGTTGTGCCACTGCATTTCGGGCTGTGAATCAAAGGAGCTGTGAGGAAACCCTGGGGCCGTTGCAATCCGAGTCCGCAGGGAAGTGATTTATGGTGCGGGGAGGCCTCGGCGCAGGCCTCGGAGCCGGGTGAGGTCAGGGTGACATCTCAACTGGAGTTCTCCATTTTGAAATTTTAATTGTCAGGAATGCACTTGGGCAACTGCCGCTGCTCCCTAGCTGAGGCCTTTGAGCAATAGTATCGCTGTTTGCAGCGGGCAGTCCGGGGCTGGGGCAGCCCGGGAGTGCCGGCAGGAATTGCGGCTCCCTGAGTCACCAAAGCCTGGCGAGCGCGCTGCCCTTGAGGGCCTGGCCCACAGCAGCGCCCTTGTCAGCGCACAAGGCCCTCAGAAACGACATGTTTCTTGTTTTCAGCTGGAAGGAAATGAATTCTTAAGGGACTGAGATGTGCAAATACTTTGTCTGAAAATAATTATAAAATATCTGCCGCTTTATACGACAGACTTGCTGGGCACAATTGCTTAGAGACATCAGTGCTGCTTTAGGAACAAATTTCAGCATGCCTGTGATAGCTGGTTCTTTCCTGACAAGAGGAAACTTTATTGATCTGTTATATATAGTGGTCACAGGGGCAGTTCAGCTTCCCAAATACGGATTAGAACTTCTGGCTATTTCCTCACAGGAGTTTGATATGGGTTGTTGGTTGCACATGCACAAATAATTGAATCTTTTCTACTATGTTTGTAATGAGACTTGATGACTGCAAGAAAGGGAGCCCTCATGAGATAAGGGTTAGCTATAAAATATAGCTTGACCTTACTTTCAGGCCCAGTGGATCAAAACAATATCTTACATCGAAGCTGTAGACCCCCTTCCTGGGCTACTGACCTTAAGTCAATCAGTAAAAATTCTTTGCATACTTCTCTTGCGGGCCCATCATAATGAAAGACCCCTCTAAATTTAGATGGATTTTAGGGTAAAGAAGAAAAAGTCCTTTGTGCTTTTGACATGATAAAAAAGGGCTGTAAAATAAAAATAAAATTTAAAAAAAAAGGCTTCTTAGCTGAAGTGTGAGCAATGCTGCCTTTCAAAAGGGCAAATGTACTTGGCTGAGGTCTTTATCCTGTGTGTGCCATGGTGGGGATGGAGCTGGGGAAAGGCCCAGTGATCCCAGCCTCCACATGCAACCCCTCTCTTTGCAGCAGCCTGACACCCACAGTGACTGGCTCTGCTGTCCCACCTGCAGTGATGGTTCTTTGGGGAAGAAGTGCAGTTCAGAGCTGTTTCTGATCCTTGGTAGGACAGCTCCTGCCCTGAGCTGTGATGCCACAGGGCTGGGGCACAGCAGTGCCCAGCCAAGCCATCAGCTGAAAGAGCCTCTGGGTTTTTAACTGAGGCCTTAATAGAAAGGAGGCAATAAGGTTTTAAGTGGCCCTAGCATTTTAGTAAAGCAAAGGAACGGGCAACAAATATCCATGGACTTGGTGTAACTGAATTTTTCCTGTTTGAAGAACCAGAGGAAGAGTGACATTGTGCATTGTGCTTTCCTGCAGCTCCATTGCAGAATCTCACCTTCTGTCGTCTCAGCTCTACAAATCTGTTTGTATTTCAGCACTGCTGGCCCTGCTTTGAATGAGGAGTGGTATCAGAAAGTGCAGTGATGTTATTAGAAGAGATATTACAATTAAAGACCTCCTGGAGAGGCAGTCAGCTGGTATGGGAGCTATCTGCATCCTTCCAGCTGTACCAGAATGAATACTATGCTCAGGGAAAAGGGAGCAAATACCCATGGCCTGGGCTGTTGTTAACAGGAGAGCATCACCCAGCCAGAGAATGGGGTGACAGCAATGCACTGGCACTGCTGACAGGTAATTTAATTACAGCCACCCATCTCCACCACCTGAACATCAGCGTCCCGTGTGTGTGGAAAAACAGGGAGAACACAGGGTCCTTTCTTATAGGTCTTCTAAGTTATGGAGTCTGAGGACCTGGTAAAGAGGGAATCTGGAGTTACCTGGAAAGGGCATAGTAAAAAAAATTAAAAATTTGGACACATTTTGAAGCAGTGAATCTGTAATTTTTTAGGGGTTATTTTTGAGAAGCAAAAAACAATTGGAGATTATATGGCTCGTAATTGTTGTTATTTGCCTTTTTTGTCCTGAGAGTTGTATTTTAGAAAATATTGTTTTGCTTTCCATCTTAAAACACTGGCCCAACTTTTGGTCCCTGCCTCAATGCAGTGAACAAGCTTTCCTGTCTCACATCTACTGAAGCCATTCCCTTCAGAACCACAGCTGATGTGGTGAGAACCTCACTGGCACTGCAACAGTCCTGAGTTACAAGCAGTAATATCCTGGGCTGACCAGCATGGTCACTTTTTATAACCAAAAAAACCCTGAAGGGTTTTTTTCCCCCTGAGATATACCCATTTAATGTTGATGCATTTAGTTCTGATTACACCTCCCATGGTGGGGGAGGTGGGGGTGTTCTGAAGCTCCCACCCTGCCCCATTGCTGGGCTGTATTTCAGGTTTTTTCATACCACCATTGATCCTGAAATTATCTTTAATACTTTAAAACTGATAAACACACAACATATTCACAGTACTTCACACGCTGTGTAGTACAGTCCTTAGGAGTGGAGTTGAGGAGCGTGAGCAGTGTCTCACACTAAATGAAAATGTAAGGGAACTCAGGCAGTAAGTGACCATCTACCAGAGAGAATAGGAAAAGTATTCTTTTTGCTGGGATTGGCAAATTGGGGAAGCAGGGCAGGTGTTTGGGGCTGTGTGGGAGCAGGGCTGAGCTGCGTGGTTGTGGAGGGGCTTTAGGGGAGGTAGATGGAGCCTGGGGAGGACCTGTCTGTGCTGAGGGAGCTGGAGCATCCCAGCAGGGCAACAGGAGGTTTTAAATTTTGCAGATAGTACTGCACCTTGAGCAAAATCCGTGCCTGTCCTTATTTAAAAATTCCTTTATAATTGCGGGCTTGGCGAGAGGCTAATCTGTTTACACAGGCAAACAGGCAAGAATGTGCTTCCTGGGCGTGCTAACAGCAGCTCCTGCCCAGGGAAAAACTCAGGTCCTGCTCCGGGGGACACAGCAGGGAGAGTCCACAAAGCAGTTGTTCCCGCAGAAATCAGAGCCATCCCTCCTCTTTCCATCTTCTCCTTAGTTTGACAGGCAAGGGGGGAAATCATTAATTCTGCACTGCTAAATGTAAATGTTGGTCTGGATCTTGCCCACCCACTCTGGGTATTTGAAAAAGTCGAACCTGCCCATGCATACCAGGACTGAAGGGAGCCACCACAGACAGCCATGGCATGTCCTGAGCCCTCCAGCAGCTCCTAGTGAGGAGTTTCCAAGATGAGAAAATGAGAAGCTCAGATATTGGTGGATGGGGGGGAAAACAGAATAAACCACTGGCCTCCTATATATATATATATTTACTTACAAGTGGTATACATGTACTACTGTACTGATACATACATTATAAAACACACAGAAATAACAAATATAACGATGAAATAAGCACTAATTTTTAAAAATGCACATTTTTTTCTACTTATGAGCATGCAAAAATTGTTTTCCCCCCTGGCCCCATGGGTTGTTTTGTGCACCCAGTTTGGAGACCATGGGTACAATGCCACTGGTCAGGCAGAGCTGAGTGCCTGCGTCCTGTGTGAAACTTCCAAGAGCCACATTACTGTACTGGGGCTGAATGGGAGGATAACAAAATTCAGAAAACTTTAATCAGGTTTGTAAATCAGTGTTTGCAACTGGGTTGGGAACTTCTGGAGTCAGCTGGGTAAATCTGAGCAAAGCTTTTGTGAGGAAATGTTAATGTTTGGTTACATGTCTTTAATTGGAATAGAAATGCATGTGAACAGCTTTTGAGTTCTGCTCCTTGATTACCCATAGAGGGGTATTAAGGACTTTTTCTTCTAATATCAGGTGGACAAACATCTGTGTGGGAAATGGATGTACAGATTAGGGATGGGATTTCTGAGTGTCAGTGTTGGAAGTAACCCCCAGCTCTTTTGTGTCGAGGCAGTTGCTTCATGTTGGGCCAAAATATGCTTTGTGTGTAAAGGTATCATTTAGGAATTGACATCAAAACATGAATTACTGTGAACTAAAGGTATATAATATAATGGTATTTTACACACTAGACATCTGTGATCAAGTTTTTGTATTTCCATGTCTAGCCTCATGTTTCAGATGAGGGAATAAATGGAAATTTCTATTAGGAATATGCAAAATAGCTGTAGGAGTTGTTTAAAACTTGATTTGTTTAAAA